AGTTGCTCTTCATCTCCAAGTGCAACATATAAAATTTGTCACCAAATCAAAATATAATTTGGCATGTCCCATAACCATAAGGGCTACCGAACGATAACCTTAACTGCCTTAGCATTTAATGGTTTTAATCCTCAGCAGCAGTCTCGCATATTTAGCGATTTAAATATTTTATAAGCGCGTATTTTCTGCCTCCTACTTTAAAAAAATCTTCAACCGTGTCCTCTGCAATACCTTCTGATATTACGTGCGTATTTTATAGTAATTTGATAATCGTATACATAAAACAATACCATTTAGTGTGTCAGACATGTCTTTTACCGAATGTTGAAATCAATGTACTGCTGCAACTAACTAGAAGACTACATTTTATGTCCACTTATTTTTACGGAGCTATAAAAATGCTGTTCTGAATTCGCAGCACTTGATACACACATTTTAATCATTCAGGTTCAGACAATGAGATAACAACGTCCGCGACCTTGTCCGCTGGTAGTACGCCCAGCGGTACGTAGAATGCACCAATTGCTAACTCACACAGCCTAAGTGTGTTTTATTTGCTACATTATTTCAATAGGATAATGGTCAGACACAAATTTAGTTTCCTCATATCAATCTGAATACCATTTCATCGTGGGTGAAACTTCTATCTGACCCACTATGTCGTTAATTGTGAAGACACTACTTTCAGGCGGAAAGCTGTATTATTTTATCACGAAACTAGTTGTGGGATAGTTGTTGAAGTTTTAAGCAATGAAAGTTCGAGGTATTAGCATTTTACTGTTCTTTCAGAACCGTCAGCGGAGGCTACAACGTTCAAGACCGAGTCCAACGATACTTCCCCCAGTGGTTAGAAGATATATAAGGCTAATTTAAACTACTTAAGTATGTTTTATTGACTACATGCGATTAATATGACTATCGCTAGACAGACGCTCAGTTGTCCCTCGTTATCCTGAGTGTCGATTTTTCTTGGTTGGACATACTTATTTACCCAAAACGTGTTTCGTGGATCGCGCGAAAAATGCCTTCAGGTGAAAAGCTGTTTTACGTTTTCATGAAAGCATTGTAAAAAATATGTTGGATTTTTAACCATTTGCGTTATAAGCATTTTACTGTTCTTTTAGAACCGTCAGCTGAGGCTACAAAATCCACGGCCGAGTCCACTGATACTCCCCCAAGTGGTAAGTAGATATATAATGGTAGTCTACTTATTGCAACTGTACATTGCTTAATTGTATGTTTACTTTCTAAATGCATTCAATATGATGTTTGCCAGAGAAATGTTAAGTTGTTTCACATCATCTTGAATACCAGTTCTTCCTGTGTGGAAGGACTACTTTGCCCAGTTTATATTCGATGAAATAAGCAGACTCTTTCTTCATAAGTTTACAAAACCCGTTGTGCAAAACGTGTAAAATTTAAGCTTTGACGCTTGTTAAATTAACATTTGCGGTCTTTGCGTTTTTCTGTTCTTTAAGAACCATCCTCTGAGGCTAAGATGCCCACGACCGTGTCCACTGATGCCACACCTAGCGGTAAATAGATAGCCGACGCTTGTCCACCAAGTGCATATTTACACTGTGTCGGTTATTTGTATTTACTACATGTGTTCCGTATAGCTATCGTAAAACAGCTATTTGTATGTCCCACATTACAATGAATGGTGATTCTTTGTGACTGGGATAAGTACAGTACCCACTATATATTTCTTGGACTATGCAGATTGTGTATTCTGAGGGAAACTTGTTTTATAATTTGACGAGGCGGTTAGGTCAAAATTTACTTAAGTTTAAAGCTATCGCATTTGTGGTGTTGGCATTTTCCTGTTCTTTCAGAACCGTCATCTGCTGCTTCAACGTCCACCACTGTGTCCATTGATAGAAAACCCACCGGTACGTAAACACTTAATGATAGTATACTAATTGCATAGTAAAATCACTGCAGTTTGTATTTGCATTATGTCTAATGTCGTTCACGGTTAATGCATTTTCCTGTTGTTTCAGATTTGGCCAGTGAGGCTATTAAGTCCACTAACGCGTCCAGCGAAACTACATCTAGCGGTAAGTAGACGTTTTACAAAAGACTGCTAGTAACCAATTCGCATCATTGAAGTTGGCACAACTGAAACCGATAAGCTTTTCCTGTAGCGACTTGTACCCCGTTCTCATATACCTGTACGAACCGACGATAATTTATAGAAAACCTACGTACTTCTGAGATATTATTGTTTTCTTTTGGAAATTGACCCTAATTAGCACTACTCAAGTCAATATCACCCGGTTTCCTCATAAGTCGTGAGCCTCTGTATTGCGGTTTCATCTCTTTGAAATTACCCACATGTGCGATATAGCCTTGTGTCGCCACTGTTGTTTCTTGCATAAATGCATAAGTCCATTCTGATATGCGATCAAAAAATAGATCGACTGACATTAAAAGTCCCTTATAAGGTTACCTACTCATTACAGTTACGATAATTTAGTGATGAGCATTGTCTGGTTCATACAGATACATCTACTATCACCACTTCATATACGATGGCGTCTAATTGCACGTTTAAATGTGATATTAGTTTTCAAATTGTGTATTTACGACAGGAGGTTTGACGTGTAGGGGGATTGTCGGAGTCATCATACTTATTTGATAACTCGATTGGCTTCCCAGAGCTCAATTCAATGTAGACTACTACATTTTAGAGCAGACCGTTCTAGATTACACTGTAAGCTATGCTCTGAGGATGTAGTTGTCGTATAGCATAAGGGCAGTGTTCTCAGAATGAAATTCTTCGTTGAACGCGCCTCGTATTTTTTTTGGAATTTAGCGCTAATTACCCCCATTCAACACATCATTATCCGCTCTTATCGTAGCATTTAAGACTGTATGTTATGCATGTGTATTTTGTTATTCTGCGCTTTAGTTTGCTAACACAACAACGCAGATTCTGGTTTGCATTATAAGAAATTGTTAGATTGGTATTAAAAAAAATTATAAGGACATGTTGTGCAGCAATTACGATGTGTTTATGATGGACTTTATTTAGCTCCTACACCAATGTCCACTCCAAGATTGATCTCCGAAAATTCGTTTGATGGTACGTTGGTATCTTATCATAATTTATAAATCATGCCTTAACAACAATGATTTTCGGCGGATGGCACGTGATTCATTCCTATCGAAAACGTCGGTCGTGATCCCTGCGTTGAGATGTGTGCGTCCATGTTTGCAGTCGTCAAATAATTATGGCTCTGATAAACAGCACTAGAGGAATGTAGCCCGGTTTAATACCAGATTGGCGCGTGAAAACTTTTATAAATTGCAACTTCAAGTAATGCATAACTTGGTAATTATTGCAAATTAGTTTACTATTGCTCTTTGACATATACACTGCAACGGTTTCGGACTAATAATCTAGTACTTAATTTGTCCTCCTTAGTGGTAAGCCTAGGCCTTTTAAATAAAGAAAATATAAAGTTTGCAGTGGGAGACAGTCATACCTTGTAAGATGTGTTGTGTATGATGTTTCAGACGGCGTCACCGTTGTTCTTTTGTTATGAATTTTTCATTCATATTTATTCAGCAAGCGTTCCACCCCTGATCCAAGTGGACGTGCCTGGGGCATTTAACTAAATTGCTGTATTATTACTGTATATTATTCGTTATGTTTAGCCCATCTATTTACGCAGGCATTTGGAAATATTTGTGGGAATCAGCTCAATTATTGTGCTACCCCTCTGCATTCTCTGCAGTAAAAGATTTTCAAACACTTCAACTCCTAGTATACAGTGCAGCAATTATCAGAATCCCGCAACCATGGCGATTTTTATTGTCCAAAGGTGAGCAGATATTATTGAGCTCACAACATGTCACAGTCTGCCAGGGAAAAGTGCACTAGGGCAACGATTTATATTATTTGATGAAGTCTAAGAGCGCTGTTTTCTAGTACCCACCGAAATAAATCTTCCGGCAATCTTAAAAACACCGTGTGATTATATGTTAGTTAATTTTAAAAGGTGCCCATTCGGAAAAGTGACGTTGACTTTTCAAAATTCTTCTGCAGATGTGGTAAAAACGTGTGACTGTAAACACTGTTCAAATAATTCCTGC